GCCGCCGTGCTGCTGCCGGTGACCACGGCTGCGGAGGAGAGAACAGCGCAGCGTCAGCACCCGCGCCCACCTCCCTGTGTTGTAGTTAACGATCCCCGGGCCCAGGATGATTGGAAGGCGATCAAGGCAACTTTGCACCTGATGATCATTATGATACACTCTGACGTTATAAGGTGCCCCCCCCACAGTGTTAAGTCATTATGAATTTCCAATGGTTCCTTCTATGTAAGGTCAACACTTGATGACCCCCTAGGAGATTATCCAGGATTTCTCTTCTGATTAACAGGCTCCCTATTCAATATTCTCCATCCACCATATAGACCTATTAACAGTGCCCTGAACCCGGAACAATTACAAAAGCATGTCTACTGCCCTTTCCACCCCCAGAAAACCCCTCCAACCTCAACAGAAATTTTTTTTAATTAGTTGCTTTCACCCTGTGTTAGGACAGATATTTCAGACTCAGTTCTCACGGTCATGGCTACTTTGGCTACTTACAGATGCTGACAGCACTCTGGCACTCTCCAGACATCCTGTGTGAGAAAGAGAGAAGGACAGCTCCATCACAAAGCAAATTTCCAACAAGCCCATTGATGACGGTGACATATAGCAACCAAAGTAGGATTCTCTGGCCTGGCAGATCAGTACCCTCTCTCTACCCTTCCACTGGCTGGAACAGAGCTCCTGTGCACACGAGTTCCATGTGCACTTTGGCCGCCCATGGAGGGAAAGAACTGGCCAAGGCAAGTGCTTCCCAGCAAGGCCCGTGCAAGGTGGGGGCCTCTTTCATACAGCAGGCCTCTGCTCCATTCGCTTGCTCACTTATCTGGCCCTCAGCATGTGACTTGGATCAGGGAAGGTGGGGAGATGGACGTGGAGGCTCACCTGCACTCCTCGCCCTCCAGCAGCTTGCGGTAGGTGGCGATCTCCACGTCCAGGGCCAGCTTGACATTCATCAGCTCCTGGTAGTCACGCAGCAGCCGGGCCAGGTCATCCTTGGCCTGCTGTAGGGCAGCCTGAAGCTCTTGGAGTTTGGCATTGGCATCCTTGAGGGCCAGCTCCCCACGCTGCTCAGCTTCGGCAATGGCGGACTGCAGTTTAGCATTCTGGAGCAGAGGGAGGTGGGAGAGAAGCTCAGTGGAAGGGTCCCAGGGTCTCTGGGTCTTCGAATAGATTATCCCAAAGCAAGTCAGGCAACCTCACCTCCTCCTTAGCACCTCTGTCTTCATCCATGGAGATATTTCCCCTGGGGATTACCAGCCATCTAGACTAGCTTGGTCTTTGAACTTCTTGGAGGCCAATGCTACCTGAGAGGACCCCAAAAGTCCCCTCCAGACCAGAAGTCCTGAAATCCTAGCCCCCACCCCTCACGATCAGCCTAAGCACCAGCATCCCTGGTCAGCCCACCTGCTTCTTGATGTTCTCAATCTCTGCCCGCAGCCGCTGGATCAGCCTGTTGAGCTCCGAGATCTCACTCTTGGTGTTCTTCAGATCATCCCCGTGCCTGCCAGCTGTGGTCTGCAGCTCACCCAACTGGAGAATAGAAGGAGGGTGAGATGTTAATGCAGCTTTGCCTGACTTGTTTCTCTGTTCCTAACATCTACCCTGCCTCGAGGTGCTTAGCAAGCACTTGTTTAAATGACGTCAAGTGATGTTTCTGCAGGGACACCTCTGAGGCAGCAGGGTTGTGGTGGCAGAAGATTCTCTCCCTTCTAGTCTCTGAGCAAGCTGGAGTTGGTCCCATGTGGTCTGGCAGGGGACAGTGGAGCCACCTCCCCCCAGGGGACAGCACTTTCTGCAGCTGATGCTGCAGATGTTTCTAGATGTCTCCAGAAAGGACAACCAAGAAGGGTCCACCCAATGGCCACTGCCCAGCCGTCCCGTGGACCACAGCCTCCCCAAGACCCTCAGTGTGTCCTCTGAGAGGTGGCTAACTCCCACCTTGGTCTGGTACCAGGCCTCGGCCTCAGCCCGGCTGCGGTTGGCGATCTCCTCATACTGGGCCTTGACCTCGGCGATGATGCTGTCCAGGTCTAGGGAGCGGTTGTTGTCCATGGACAGGACAACGGACGTGTCACTGACATGGCTCTGCATCTGGGACAGTTCCTGCCAACACAGAGGGGACTGTTCATTCTCAAGCCCTCGGCAACAAGCACACAGAGGCCCAGAGAGGCTCCTGATCAACAGACCCATGCACTGATTTGGCTCTGAATGTGCGTCTGCCTCACCCTGTCCCTCTTCCCAGCCCCTCAGAGAACCCCATGTTTGTAGTTCCTCCTGTAGAGCCCCAACAAGGGGCCTTCTCTCTCGGCTCAGTCTTCCTGGGATCTACATATCCACTCTAAAAACATATCACCCTCCCTCTCTCCCCTTCTTAGCAGGAAACATCCTCACCATATCATAGAGGGTCGTCAAGAAATTGATCTCGTCCATTAAGGCATCCACCTTGGCCTGAAGCTCCACCTTGTTCATGTAGGCAGCATCCACGTCCTGAGAAAGACAAAAGCATAAAGGCCTTATTCCCCCAAATAACAAATAACACACTGCAACCACAGCAACAAAGAGTCAGGAGGACCACGGCTGCGATGGGTCAGTCCTTTTCCGAGGCGAGTCTCCATGTAAAGGAATGATTCACGTCTCACTGGGATGGTAGAAGTTCAGTCCTACTCCAAAACTAGAAATGAATGATCTGGCTCCCTTAGAGATCTCTCCAGACTTAAATGCACCTGGCTTCAGTTTTTTTGCTCCAAGTGCCTGAACTTGGCAGCTCCATGACAGTGCAATAAGAAGATTACCCCAACCCAGATGGAAGCCTGTGCTGGCAAGCCCCGGGAACCTCACACACAGCCCTTACCTTCTTCAGGGTCACAAAATCATTCTCAGCAGCCGTACGCTTGTTGATTTCATCCTCATATCTGTATGTTAAAAAGAAACCGCTGAGTTTGGGGCTTGAAGTAGTCATAAACACCACTGTTCTCTGAAACTCTGAAAGTGCTTCTCATCCATCTTCTGTCCCTCTCCGGTCCCTCTTAGATGAACTCATCCTTTCACCATCTTCCTGTTAGTTAAGAGGACTGACCATTCCCATATATTCAGGCACATGGTCCAGTTTTAGTACTAAAAATCCTGAGTCCTAGGAAATCCCTCAGTCCTGGGCAAACTGAGATGCTCGGTCACCACACCTTGAGTTGTCCCAGCATCCTTCAGATCCCAGAACCTGGACCTTCCCCAGCCTGGCTCTGAGGAAGTGCTTCTTCAACTCTAAACTTACAATTTTATTTGTAAAGGACTACGCTTCAGGAAGGAAGGGGAAGGGAAAATCCAGTGAATGAAGCCGTCCTCCATGAAGATAAAGAGAGGAAAGCAGGCTCAGTGACAGCACTGCCCAGTGGGCAGGAGGAAGGCAGTGAGGGCTGGGACTCCCAGACAGGGTAGCCCACAGCATTTTTCCACCCATGCCTCTGTCACTCACTTCTTCTTGAAGTCCTCCACCAGGTCCTGCATGTTCCTCAGCTCTGAGTCCAGGCGGCCTCTCTCTGCCAGGATGCTGTCCAGGTAGTTCCGCTGGGAGTTGATATAGTTCTCAAAAATGGGGTCAAGGTTGTTGGTGCCTGTGACGGAATTGGTGCCCTGCTGCTGGAGCAGGCTCCATTTGGTTTCCAGGACCTTGTTCTGTTGCTCCAGGAACCGCACCTGCAATGCGTTGTGGGAAGTAACATCAGGTAACACTTGGAGTGGAGGGGCAGAGGGGCCTTGGCTCAGGCCGGACTGGGTGTCAGTCTCTCCCCATCCTCCAGCACAAAGACCTAGAAAGCTTCTGCTGTAGCTGGAGAGGGTACGGTTAGACAGTCACATCAGGCAGACCACTAAAGATGCAGCATGGCTTGGAAACTTACAGAAGAAGGAGAAATGGATGGGGAAACTGGAAGTCACCCCTGCCTGAAAGCAGAGGAATTGTAAAGGTGACCCCTCGGTGTTTCTGGGGATTTCATGACTCTACCCCAACTTCTAAAAATACAGTATTTGCTGCAGAAAGGTGCTTAAACCTCAAGGCATCGTTTCCATCTAAGGTACCCCTGACACTCCAGCCCCTCAAAGGATGGGAATCACTGGGAACTGATACTGTTGAAATGCTGTCATTGTCACGACGGGAGAGGCTGCTGGTGTGAGCTATCCTGGTCTGGAGCTCACAAGCACCCTTCCCTTGCTGACGAGGTTGACTGGGGATACAGACAGAGTTGCCAGCTCCTCTGCAGTCCCCTGACCCAGGTTCCCTGGGAGCCTCTTTAATCTCTTCTCTAGGGTGCCCACCTCTTTTGACAGGCACGGCGACATAGAGAGAACAGGCTTTTTGGAAAGCCCCAGAGGGCAGCTTGTGTTTGAAAAGCCTCTAGATCTCGGTCAGACCCTTCCCTGCCAGAGGTCACGGTCCTCGCCCTGTGCTGCCAGCGCTGCCTGCACAGGCTCTGTGAGGCAGCAGGTGGGAAACTTGAGCAGAGCATCAGAAAAGCGGGACCTGGGGGTGTCCAGGTCCAAATAGGAGACGGCTGTCTTTCCCACTCACATAGGCAGGTGGACAAGCTCGTCAGCCCTGAGCATCTTCACAGACCCCAGAATGCTGCCTAACCCCTCCCCCTCCAAGCTGGCCCACTCAAGAGCGATCCTACACATCTAAATCTCAAAGGCCCCTGCCTAGAAATGGGAGGCGCAAGTCAAGTTCCCTCACCTTGTCGATGAAGGAGGCGAACTTGTTGTTGAGGGTCTTGATCTGCTCCCGCTCCTGGGCCTTTACTTGCCCAATCTGGGGGTCGATCTCCACATTGAGGGGCTGCAGGAGGCTCTGGTTGACAGTCACTTCCTGGATTCCCCCAGGGAAGCCACCAGGGCCAAAGCCACCAGGCCCACCAAAACCACCAGGCCCACCAAATCCACCTGCTCCTCCAAAGCCACCAGCCCCTCCAAAGCCACCTACTCCTCCAAAGCCACCAGCCCCTCCAAAGCCACCTCCCAGTCCTCTGCCACCACCAAAGCCACCACCAAATCCACCTCCGTAGCCACCTCCAAAGCCACTGACACAGCTGCTGCGCCCTCCCCCAAAGCCACCAGCCCGGGATCCACCAGCCACACTGATGGAGATGCTCTTGCTGCCACCCAGGTTGTAGAGGCTGCGACTGCCAAAGCCACCCACTCCGCTCCGGAACCCAAAGGCCCCTCCTCCGGCTCCCGCCGTGCGGGCCACACAGCTCAGCCTGCTGCTGCCGGAGACCACGGCGGAGCGGCCAGAGAAGCCCTGGCTCCCACCACCAGATATCTTGCTGACTTGTCTATTCATGGTGAGAGAGCTTGGCCAAGGGAAAATGTAAGAGTTAAGCAGGGCCCTGAGAGCCAGAGGAAGAGAGAGGCGAACTGAAGACCTGTGCAGAATAAATCCCTTTATATACACATAGGAGGCTGCTGGGCTTAAACAAAGGAGAGATAATTAATCTCAAGTAGTCATGGGTTGGGTTTGCCTTCAAGGCAAAAAGTTTATTCCAAGCTACTAAACACACCTTAAAAATAAACTGAAATAGTAAAAGTGCTAAGGTGGCAGGCTTACCTGGCAGGGGTGGTGCCTGTCATGGCCCCGTGTTGGGCATGGCCACCTCCTAGCATTGTCTGCCAGGATCCAGGAAGCACGCGCACCTGTCCTCAGGTCAGCTGTCCCCAGCCCCGTCAGAGCTGGGCTCGGCTCTAGAAAGGATAGAGGGGAAGGGGGGGGGGTCTGGTTGTCAGGGTGATGGACTCAGGGAAGTATCTCAGTAGGAGGGGTGGTACAGTTCACTCCAAAAGCCCACACCTGGCCACTGAGCGCCCACTGTGTGCCCAGCTCTGTGCTGGGCGCAAGGATAAGGTGATGACCCCTCTTTCTCCTTTCCTGGAAACAAAGCCCCGAACCATCACACAGCTGCCTGCTGGCATCCTCCCTCTCTCCCCAGGTGGAGTTCAGGAGGCTGCAAGTACTCAGGTTCATGACTATGTTCTGAGAAAAGGAGGACCGAACACTCTGAGCTTTAATGAGACAATGGCAAAGTTCAACACGCCAAATGATTTGTTTGTTTTTTAAAATTCCCAGAGAAATTATACACTCTTCTCAACTTTGAGACATCTCTCCAGCTTCCTTCCTTGTTCCGCCTATTTTTGGCACCTCTCTGGTTTCAGCCTAGGGTACTGCAAATCCAAACGCCAATTCTACCACCAGTGCAGTGAATATTTACAGGTCACCTCACTCAGGTCAGGCCTGGAGTGTGTAGGAGGCACTGGAGACTTGGTTGTGAAAAAGACACGGTGGGGGAGGGTGCCTGTGGGACCATCCTCTGTTGGAGGAGAATGCATGCTCCCCAGGGGGGTCTGTGGCCTCGGTTTCCAGACACCACCCCACCCCTCAGCCTCAGGAGGCAGACGCGGCAGGGCCGGCCACACTGCTGCACGTGTCTAACTCTGAAAGCCTGAGAATCTGCCAGTCTGAAGTTTTTTCAGAGGCTTAGGGACTGGGCTTGGCTTGTCCAAGAAGAAAGCCTTTCTGCGCTGCTCTGGAGCCGCCGAGTCAGTCACTTATCTCTCCAGGACAAGGCTTTCTCCTTCTGTCTGATGCACAGTAGCCCCTGCCAAGGGCGTGGCCTGCATGACCTCCTCAGAGTAGGGGAACAGGAGGGAAGGACAGTGGATTCTTCGGTGCTCACTGGACAAGGCTGGGGATGACCCAGCACGGAGGAAGTGAAATTCTGTTCAGTACCCTGGTTCTCACATTGTGCCCCCTCCCCTAGCTGTTACCCCCAAGCTCTGCCACATCACAGTCCCTTCCCCAGAATAAAGCCATCAACTTTCCAGAAGTTTACAGTTTTGTTAATATACTGGATCCCTTGGTCCTTAGCACAGCCTTTGCCAATAATAGATGCCCGTAAAGACTGAAGGGATGGATTGATCAATCAATCAATTAATAAATTAATGAATGAATTTAGTCTTTCTATTGGATGACAACCAAATAAAACTAGGCAAAAGCTAATTCAAATCCTGTGACATAAGGTAGTCCAAGGTCATGAGGTTATCTCAACATAAGGAATCCAGACCTCTCAAACTTGGTGTTCAGATTTAAGAAAATGTCCATGCAAAGTGAGTGTCATCTCCTCTCCAATGTAAAAAATGTAGGATCACAGTATGAAGAATCATTCAAGAATCCATGGGAGCAATCTAAATGTCCATCGACAGATGACTGGATAAAAAGTGGTAGTATGTATATACAATGGAATGCTACTGAGCCATAAAAAAAGAATAAAATAATATCATTTGCTACAACATGTATGGACCTGGAGATTGTCATTCTAAGTGAAGTAAGCCAGAAAAAGAAAGAAAAATACCATGTGATATCATGCAATGTGGAATCTTAAAAAAATGAACACACAAATGAACTTATTTACAAAACAGAAACAGATTCACAGACGTAGAAAACAAACTTATGCTTATCAGGGGGGAAATGGGGTAAGAAGGGATAAATTTGGAGTTTGGGATTAGCAGATACTAACTACTACATATAAAATAGATAAGCAACGAGTTCATACTCTATAGCACAGGGAACTATATCCAATATCTTGTAGTAACCTATAACAAAAAAGAATATGAAAATGAATATATGTATGTATATGTATGACTGAAACATTATGCTGTACACCAGAAATTGACACAACATTGTAAACTGACTATACTTCAATTTAAAAAAAAAGAATCAGTCAAGAATCAATCAGTTGAGGGGTGGGATATAGATCAGTGTTAGAGCACATGCTAAGCATTTGCGAAGTCCTGGGTTCAATCCCCAGTATCTCTATTAAAAAAAAAAAGCATCAATCAATCACAGAATCAACTTGAAGCTGACTGGGCATTTGAGGTCACAAAATCAGCCCCCGACCAGTACTGGGATCCCCTCTCTAGCACATCTGACTAATACCTCTGATCTTCCACAACTGCTACCCAGAGATTACTGGCATGTGAACTTAGCCCAAGGCCCAGAGGCTGGCTGTACACAGACACCTTCCTCAGCTTTTCTCCCTCAGAGGAACCAGAGTTTAAAGAATGAACCAAATCCAGAGCTGGACCAGTCCCTCCCCGTGACTAACTCCGTATCACCAAGTCTGTTTAAATACTCTGGGTTTCAGCCTCATTAACCATTGAAGATGGTCAGTCATCTCTGCCCCTCTGATTCTCGCAGGAGCATAGCTGGTGGAGTGAAATCTCTGTCAAGTGTTTCAAGAAACATATCCCAGAAATTAGATCATATTTTTTCTCCTCATATTTAAGTGTGTGCACTTTGGAGCCAAACAGACCCAGCTTTTACATCTCAGCTTTGTCACTGCATGTCCATGAGGGAGTTCTTTAACCTCTCTGTGCCTCGCTTTCCTCATCTGCAAAATTAAGTTATTAAAGATACCTCCATCAGAGAGTCATGGTCGTGCCCAGAAAGCACCCAGCACAGTGTAAGTGTTCAGTGTTCACTATTATTTTCACTATTTTTATTTACAAATCACACGGAGAATTTCAGCTTTCATATTTGTCAAAAGAATGGATACAATCAAGTGATGATTCTACTGAAAAATTAGCCACTGAGGCCTCCCAGAGAAAGTGAACGCAGCGGGGTGCTGAATAGAGGAAAATCCTGTCAGCTCCACGACTTGGGATGAGGAGAAGCAAGCCTCAGTTTACGGCCCAACGAAGAGAAATCCACAAACAAATATGAGGAGTATTTACCTTGCGTGGACATAATCTGTCGCTATGTGGTGGAGCGAATGGTTTTCAAGGCGCTCACGGTGCAGACAAGCCGAACAGTACAAGAGTGTGTAAAACTAAGTGCCAAGTTAGAAAAGCCATGAGAGAGGGGAATCACACGTGGAGGCTTCGTGAAGAATGAGCCAAACTTTTAAGAAGAGCAGAATTTGGATATTTAGAAGAAAAGGCATTTCAGCCAAGGCTCAGTGTAGGGGAGGATAGAGCTCAGTGGTAGAGCACGTGCTTAGCATGCACAAGGTCCTGGTTTCAATCCCCAGCACCTCCGTTAAGTTCAAAAATTTAAAAAAAAAATTAAAAGGCTCAGCATAAACAGACACAGTCAGGTTCAGGACATGGAGACCGGGGAAGGCTTCTGTCATCTGTGGTGACACCACATCTTTGAACACCTCTCCTTCCTTTTGGTTATTTCCCACATTGAGGTCCCCACGTTTCTAGGGTAAAATCCAGAAAACACCTTCCCAGACTCCTTTGCAGTGAGAAGCCAGGCCCGTGACCAAGAATCTTCCAATGAGAGAGACCCTTGTGAGACCTGGATTCGGATGGAGACGATGTAAGATGGCCACAGAGACGACAATCGATCTTTCTAGAGAGTGTAACGCGGGGTCGCCACAGGCAGAGGTGGAGTTCTGTCATTTCGCCCCAAGCATCACATCACAGCAACCATGGTCACTACCAGAGCAGCCCCCAGGGGTGGCTGGGGGTGCTTTCAAGCTGCAGAGCCCCCAGAGATGCCATGAGCAACAATGTGTTTCCTCAATTATTTTCTGTTTACATCAGACAGAATGGGTGTTCTTATTTGCTAGTATGGGCACTGATCCATGCAGTGATGGGAATCCATGCAGTGATGCAGTGATGGGCTGGGCCTGCCTAGAGCAGAAAGGAATTGTAGGAGAAGACGCTGGGGAAGTAGGTGAGAACAGGATGGAGGGCCTGCCTTTTGTGCCAGACAGAATGAGGCTGCTGCATGGCCACTTGTGGGCCTGAAGTCCAGGGCAGTGGGTCTCTGGGAATTTTGTTGTTGTGGGGGGGTGGGGTAATTAGGTTTATTTATTTGATGGAGGTGCTGGGAATTGAACCTAGGACCCTGCTAGGTATGCACTCTACCATGAGCTATACCCTTGCACTCACACCCTCCACCCTCGTCTCTAAGAATTCTTAAACAGCTAGTAAAGCAAGATACATTTCTGCCCCACACTGGGGCAGAGCCCAGCCACTGCCAAAGCCCACGATCCTGAGCCACACTTGTCATTCCTTTAGAGGAAATTAACTTGGAGAGAAATCTTTGAAAAGCAAAGTCACAACCATGGTTGTCATCAGCTGAACCTAGATCTGGGACCTTCCCAGCAGGTGGTGGAAGGAGTTGGGGGGAGAAAGTGCTTAATCTATTCTTATTCTGCAGCCAGATTGCAGAGAAGACACTGTCCACTAGGGGATAGGAAGCAAACTAGGGACTGGGAGTGCATTAGCAGGACTAGAGTGTCAATTCTGATCAGAGAGTCACTAGGGGTGCAAATAAAGGAAGAGAAGGAAGCAATCCGTGAGTTGAAATCCTTGATGGTTGAGCCCAGCCCTCCAGGCTTGGGGGACCCAGTAGATATTTTGAGAA